GTATGTCTCGTGCATTGACCCGAACTGAAGGGCCAATCCATGAAAGACTTCAATCGGTTCTCCTCGGAGATCATGTGCTTGTCTTTGCCTCCGATCACATCCATCATTGATATGGATTCACACATTGCGTCCGATTCGCCACTCAATGATCACTGGGATGTCCAACAAATGGTCGCTTAATAGCACTGATGACTGCGATTGCAATTCAACTCAATTTAGTCGCAAATCACTTGACTTTCAAAATCATAGACCAATTGAAGCGGGAATTGAGACTCTCTTCACAAATAACGCCATGAATTACGTCTTGTATTGGGTTTGATGCGAGTGTTGGATCAGATGGTGATGACAGCAATGAAAAGACATTCAACGGACACAAGGGTTGAGGCGAAGAGAGCGTCCAACTGGTGGACCAATGGATTGCTGAGTGCTATGAAAGACCAATCACTCGTTGTCTTGAAGGATGACTTGATTACTATCATTGAAGACAAATATCCAAAGGTTTGATAACCGGTCCACTCATTGAGACACTTCTTGATGAACGCCTCTCTTTCTCTCTATCAGTCCCGACACCATCTGCTAGTCATCCCCAATAAGAACTCAGGCATGGATTCTGTGGATGACTTGACCGCAAGTGATGTGCAACTCATTGATCACATGACACTCAAAGGCAAACAAATATCACAACAATTTGACGGAAGCGTTGAATTCCGGTTCGGTTTCCATCGGATTCCGAGTCTTAAACCATTACATCTTCACGTCATTAGTCAAGACTTTGACTCCAAATATCTGAAGACCAAAAAGCATTACAACTCATTCACCACGAAGTTCTTCATTGATTCCAAAAGTAATGTCCATTTGTTTTAAACTCTTCTCATTCTCTACTCTTGTCTTAAGCTGTGATCGAAAATCTCAACAAATATGGAAAAGTGGAGTCAATTGCTAGACATGACTGCGAAGAACTCATTAAACAGGACATAGTTTGCCATTTTTGTCGACAAAAAGTGGCAAATATTCCCAAATTAAAGATCCATTTATTGAAACACTTTCCCATTTGATTGCATTTGCATTAACAGTAAAATCTATTTTATTATTATTTGATTAAAGATTACATTAAATTAACAATTAGTTTGAGGTCTAAATCAATTGAATAATAGTCTAAATGTGTGACACTTGAGAAGAGCTATGATTTGTCTGATTTGAGGATATCTTGGATTTGTTGCAACACTTGGTCTCCATTGAGTCCCGCGAGAGAGGCATTGGATTCGCGACCGTATTCTGCAAAGGGATCACATGTTAGACATGAGGAGTGCTTTGGATGGTATGGTATATCATGTCTGACCAAAGCGTGCCCACACTTTGGGCTCAATTCCTGTGGCCTCGCGTACAAGAACTGGAAGATCGGGATTCGTTTGCTTCACTCGCGGGTAATGTCTGGCTATGAAGTCTCTGTAATCAAGACATTGTCACAGATGTGGTGCAAACACAGTCACCCATACCTGACACCAGAACTGGAGTCCGATGTGAGACA